TATATTCCATCTTAATTGTTGATCTTGTGTATTTCTCAAGAAGCAAATACCACTTTATATAATCGTATTTAATGGCATAATCAACCTTATAGATACTAGAGTTATGGGTACTGTTCACGGGGACACCCACGCACACCTATACATACACATATACGGTGTTATCCTAGTATATAGAAGGGTTGCTGATTTGTTAATTTTGTTTTTAATGCATTGACAATGACAAATTTAGTTTTAGGCTTCTAATTTGTTGTCTTGATAAATGATAAGTTTTTCTTTTTATTTGTGAAGATGCAAAAGATGCAAATATATGAGGCAGGAATGACAGTAAGTGAATACTTCAAGAACTTAATACTGAAATGAACGCTTAAATAATTATTATTGGGTATTTACTATTTACAACGAAATCAGTTATTTGGTTTCCTGGTTGTTTGTAGTTTGTACGTTGGGTAATATCGCAAATAAGGTTTTTTTTTAATTATTTTATTGTATAAACAGAGGTAACACAAAATATATCTCTATAAAGTCATCTACCTATTTAATGGAGATAAATAAGATGTGTCGTGCATACCAACTATTGTTAGCTATTAAAATCTGAATATGAAGTGAAACCCATAAAATTCTTGAAAGATAGTGTTTTTAATTTTATTAATCGAATTGTTATTAAAGTGAATTAAACACTCTACATTATCAACATAGTTCAAATTTAAATTATTTATAACATTGTAATATTGTTTGTGGAAATAATAATAATATGGTGTATATGCAAAAATAATTGTAATAAATACAATTATATTTTATTCTTCTATGTAACTACATTAGATAACTCTACAATAGATGTCAAAAAAGAAGAGGATAACTCTATAGTTAAACCTATTTGAACGAGAACAATTTCAGGATAGATTTCATACTGCAATATGAAAGATATAAAAAAAACTCTAAACGCTACTATGTGAACGAGGACGAGCACAAGTCAAAATAGAGTTTACGATGGAGTACCTACTACTATGTGAATGAACACAAAACTCTAACAAAATATCTCAACCATGAATCTTGATACGTTGTCAGTTAACAAGTTGTTGTCTTTGGATTATTTACTCAAATAAACATTTTTGATTTTTCTGAAACTAATAATATCTCATATATACACATATACTTTCCAGTATTTATCCTTTTTCTTCTCTCTTTTCTCTAGTCCAAACTCATCTTATCTTCTACAAATAATTTATTTTTTCTTCTCCACAAACTTTCTTCTTCTCTTCTAAGATCTCATGGAAAAAACCAAAAAGAACAAGCACACCCTCTCCACATTTGCAAGTTTGTATTTATGGTCGTTCTCTTTTTTTTTTCTATCCTTTCGACTGTTATATTTTTCTTATGATCCTAATCTTTTCATGGACAAAATTATCTGGAAAATTCATAGTCGACATTATGCTGGTTTTAGCTAATCCCGTTATCCAAATTTCTAATCCCATTACTTACATCACCGAGAGTTCGAAAGGCAAATATGAAAATCGCACTTGAGAAATGAGAACCATCGTTTACACTATTGGAGTTGGAAACGACAAGCATTGTGTGACCATTCATGTATGTGGTGCAGACACACAAATTTAGATCCATCGCAAAATTTTCAACTTCTATAGTTAACTACATACTTAAAAGAACGTTCTGTAAGCAACGAAGAACACGTAAAATCGAAGAATAGTCTACTTCTCCCGGATAATATGGATGTTTATTGTTCAATATAGAAAATTTTAACACTACCATTGAACAAAAAAACAAGAAAAAGTACAACAAATTTAACAAGTTAGATCCCTGGAGAGTTTCACATTCTATAACTTTCTCTTCTATAACCAGTAATATGCCCACTGAGTAAATCCCAAACTTCTTGTGCGCAATACCAAATTTGTTTACCAAGCATCGAAAAAATTAGAGACCTAAGCTGGTAGCTGCAGCTTTTTATTGTTTTTCCAGCTGTGATGAAAACACCCAAAACCATAGTCAAGAGCTGTAGATTTGTTTTGTGAAGAAAGAGGCTAAAGATGGAAGCATTTGTTACCTTAGGAAGTAATAGTAGAAGAAATCGGCGTACAGCAATGTTTGAACGAGCCCAGAGATCCATGCTACAACACAGATATCACACGATTTCAATTGGGTTGTCAAATCATCCACAAAGACAATGGACTCTGTGATTCATGAGCATCTGATGCTAATTGATGTTATACGTATAACAAGATCAGTAATCTAAGTAGGCACACATATCAAAAGATGCTAATAATGTGACCAAATTGTGGACTTGAGAAAGAAGGCTGAGAGAGGGAAATGGTCATATACTTATCCAATGAACGTAGTGTGGTTCCGTGAAGTAGCGGTAGATCCAGTTGAGTATGTAGAATCCCCGGTATCCCCTGCAACATAATTTAATTATCAACTCTGAAACCTAGAAAGGTAAGCCAAAATTGCCACGGAAAAAGACGTTCAAGAAACAAAATGCATAGCATTTGATCACATCAATAGAACGGATCCGAGATGACTATAACAGAGTATAAATGAAGCGAGTCAATAAAGATATGAAGAAACATGTATACCCAAGGAGAAAAATGTATTGTCCTGTCAAGTTGTCGATATTTCTAGTCCTCTGCAACAGAACAAGCTGAGGAAGTATAGCAACAGCCTCCAAGTACAGTGAAAAAGTCCACAAGACCTGATATTACCAAAGAAACGAACTAAGAGCCTACAAGTAAAACATTTTCCTCAAAAATAAAATGCAAAACACGAGACAAACCTCAAGAATGGCAAACTTAGAATGAATCAGAAGAGCCAAGAGAAGGCATGGAAGCACAAGGAACCAATGACGAAAAGTATCTTGCTCTCTATCATAAGTCCTGTGGACAGCTTTATGGTACCTCATGTACCAAACAATCGAAAATGAACTTCCTAAGAAAATCAACTTCATAAGCGTGTTATAGATCGATATGAAACTCGTAAGAATATCCAAGTATCGGGTTGCAAAGACAATGACATAGAGTTCTTGAGTCTTCAGTGAAACACCTGCAGATGCCAAAAAAGCAAGGAAATTCTCATAAAACAAAGCAAAGAGATTACACACCTCCCTACAACATCAAATCAAATTCAGTGAGATCCATTGATGATTACAAAAATGGAGTTAAATTCAGGATTTGTACGCTATCGAATCGCATCGAGAATGGAGAATCAACAAAATAAGACATGGAAAGCCACTCGCAATCCAATTCAATTTGGAAAGAGATAGAGATGAAGATAACGTACCGGCGCAGGATTTGATGGTGTGGATCTTGAGAAGCAAGACGAGAACACTGGCGAGGTGAGTCATATCACCTGCTAATCTGAAAATGTTCATCTTCGAGAATGCTTCGTTCTTCTCACTCGATCTATAGGGTTTATCCTAGCTTCGTATTTCCGTTGTTGTCTTCTCCGGCGACGACACGAGATCTCTCCTTCACCACTCTCTCTCCTCTTCATGGAAAACGGAAACAAACTGATAAGAAAATCTTTAAAGCCCAGACCAAAAAAAGTTATTTTGGTTTTGGGCCAAGATTGAATAAACCGAAAGCTGAACCGATCGGTTATCTAAACAGACTCAAACCAAATTCAGTCGCCTATGACTTATGCTGCAATGACCCCATTGATCAAACAGGTTGGGAATTGACCATATTTATTGGAGTGTACTTTGGATTTTCGGAGAGTTTTAGTTCTTCATATGTTAAAGGATCTTCGCGCTCCTTTCCCTCCTCATGCTTACCTCTGTTG